CTATTTGGGGGGGGGGGGGTTCCTTAATATTATAATGATAGTATAAGATACCCCCAAGCCCTATTCTAATTATTAGGGTCCTTACAGGAACTTTGTTTCTGCTTATACATTGTACATTTTGCTCTTTCATGAACTGCAGTCTGGCCACAACGACCTGATCATGACCTCCCCAAACGGCATCGTGAAGCACGCTGCTCTCTGCCCAGTCGACTGAGTTCGGCGTGCTGCCCACATCTACCAGATGTTGCACCATGTCTACATGACCGTTGGCAGCCGCCCAATGCAACGGAATCGCCCCCTCGTGGTCTCGCATATCGCTTGCAGCGCCGTGACAACGCAGTGCCTCTGCTACCTTGCAAGCTACACGTCTAAAGATGCACGCCTGGCCTGGTTGTCGGTAAGTGTACCACTAAAAAGAAAAAACAGTATCGGAATGCTGATATGAAGTTGCTCCGACATGACCTTCAGCCGCGGCTGCGTGGTACTCTGTGCTGGCAATATCTGCTGCAGGAGCTGCCCGAACTATGCCACCAGCTCGGTTCGAAACGAACCTTGCAAACCGATCGCGCGTCCAGAAAGTGCCACTTCTCAGAACCTTCGTTCCCCAGCGCATGGGTTCAGGGTATAATAGGGTTTACCAGGGTTTAATAGGGTTACGAAGGATTCCCTGTTCCCTACAGCTCGCTTTGACAGGGAGCCTAAAAAAAAGCGCAAAAAAAAACCGAAAAAAAATATCCTAAAACTCTGGTACCCGCAAACCATCAAAACGCAGCCCTCACAAAGAGCCTTGTCTGAGGTTCTCCGAAAGGAGCCCTTGAATCAGGAATCCCTTGAACAAGCGATCTTGACGATTTGCTTCACCTATATTCTACATAAGATGGATAGCTCAAAAAGAATACGACGACGATCTGAACCCACGCCAAACCCTAAACCCTAAACCCTACGCAGCGCGAAGCTGCCATTGTTGATGTGTCTGTTGGAAGGGTGGGCTTTCTCTTTGAGACCAAGAATGTGAACACAAAGACTTGAACCCGATGGAACTCCAAACCGAACCTTTAAATGAACCCTAGGCCGGCAAAGGGGCCTAAACCCTGAACCCTAAATCCCTCAACCCTAAACCCTAAATCCCCTAACCCTACATCCCTAAACCCTAAATCCCTTGAAGGGGTTTGGGGGTTTGGGGAACCAAGCAACAATCACTCGGAACTCCCAACTCGGAGATGGCTTAGTGTATACCTTCACCGGCTGAATGTCTGCACCCTGCCGCAGCAACTGTGTCACAACCTCAGATGGTTTTAGGGTTTAGGGGTTTAGGGTTTAGGGTTTCGGGTTTAGGGTTTAGTTCCCCATGGCCCAAAGACAGGAAAGTGCTAAACTTTCAGACTGTTACCAGACCTAAACAAAACTGTAAGACGTAAGACCGTAAGTCCCGGCAAAGTGGATTCGGATTGATACTGGAGCAGACAACGAAAATTATTCACAATGTCGCGAGAATTAAGAAGTGACACAGCTTCAAAGATGTGTATTGCACAACTGCCTAGACCCCGGGTTGGATTGTAGCACATTGGTTTGCATGACCTACTTTACGATTACACTCAGTGGACTAGGCAGACTGTAAAAAACCCTATACCCTCCCCTGTAAACCACGAACCCCTACGTTCCCAAACGCTAAATCCAAAAGCCCGAATCCCCCAAACCAAATCCATTCAGTGCATGGTATGTGGGACCTAAAACCGTGATACGTGGGTACTTGGACCCTCTAGGTGAACTCCCATCGCAGAACCAGGAAACTGTCGCATGTCCCGATCTTGCAGCCCAATGCAGAGGCCGGGCGCCGCGTTCATCCAGAGCTTCGGTGTCACTGCTAGCAGCGAGGAGCTCTTGCACTATCTCCTTCACGGTGTAGGTTTAGAGTTTATGGTTCAGGGTTTAGGTTTGGGCCGGGTGTATGCTTGTAGATATATAGGTACATACATGCCGGAAAGAGAGTATACGCATGATACTGCTACAGTCGAAGTCCGTACATCTATTCAATTCATTCCCTGTCTGTTTCTTTGACTAATTGCATACACACCCGAAACCTTCAACCCTAAACCCTATATAAACCCTAAACCCCTAGGGTTAACCCCCTGTGAACCCTAATGCCCCAAACTTTCAGCCAAAGAGCTTCAACCCTCAACCCTCAGAGTCCATGTGCCTCAATAGTGCATAGGGGTGCCTTTTCGTGTTTCCTTCAAGGGTTCTATACGTACCATAAGGGTTTAGGGTTTAGGGTATATGCGTCCATGTACCCAAATAGTATATACTTTGGCCCCAAAGCACCTACATATAGGGACTACGTTAAGGCCAAATTAAAGTATATACTATTCGGGTACATAACGCACCTATATAGGGACTACTTTGAGGCCAAAGTATACACTATTCGGGTATATGGACCCTTAGGGTCATCCGCAGCTCTGGTTCAAAGCCAGGTCTCCGTGTGATTGCGCTCTGAAGCCCAGTGGAGCGGCGTGGTGCCCGACCGATCGGCAGCGTTCGCCTGGAGGGTATTTAGGGATCTAGGGTTTTTAGGGTTTTTTGGGATCTAGGGTTCTGGGGTTTAGGGTTCTAAGCTTCACTTTCTTTGAAGTTTCGGTTTCTCAATAGCTAGACAGTTAGCCAAGAACCGTACAGTGATGGGCCCAACACCCAACCCGCACCTGAGGGTCCACTGTGCTGCTGTCTAAATCCTGACACCCCTAAGATTTTGGGTCAATTCGGGTTTCTAGGGCTAACCCTTCAACTCGATGGTTCAGGATTTAATCATAGGGGTTTAGGATAGGTTAGGGCTTCGGGGTTTAGGGTTCAACCCCCCGAGCCCTAAACCCCTAAACGCCTTAACCCCTAAACCCCTAAAGCCTAGACCCTAAACCCAAAACCCCTAAACCGAACCCACTGTTGCTTCTCTACCTCCGGGCCTCTGCACGCGCCGCCAGGAGGAGCCGCAGTGAGCCCAGATGGCCTTTGGCAGAGGCCTCGATGAGTGGTTGGGGTTTAGGGTGGAGGGTTTGGGGTTTAGGGTTTGGAGTTTAGGGTTTAGGGTTCAGCAACTCCGGATCGAGCAGTTTCTAGTCGAGCTCAACTCCGGAAATCATCCTACCCACCCAAGATTCCACAACAATAGGAAGCCGTTATGCTTTTAGCCAACTTGAAGGCTGAAATCACCAGCCCACAGCCCGGGGCCCTAAATCCTAAACCCTAAAGCCAGCCCACAGCCCTGAGCCATAAGTCCTAAACCCTAAAGCCAGCCCACAGCCCTAAGCCCAAAATCCTAAACCCCACAAAAGGTACACAGCCCCTGGTTTGGACGAAGTTTGGGCTTCCGGCCTCGTGCAAGGGGCAGGCCGAGTACTCGTCGCGGCACTCGGTCTCGGCACCGGCCTCCAGCAAGGATGCCGTGACCTGCCCGGAGGTGTCTCACACAGTTTTGGGTGGCTACGATGCTTCGGATGGGATGTTGGAGTGCAGAATAAGACATCGCGAGCAAACATTCAGACCTGTCCTAGGTGCTTTCGGGCTTCGGGGTCAGCACCCTAAACCCTAAACCCCAAACCCTAAACCCTAAACTCTAAACCCCAAACCCTAAACCCTAAACCCTAAGCCCCAAACCCTAAACCCTAAACAGGGCTTAAGATTAAAGACCTCGGAGTAGGAGAGGCAGCAAGCCCCCTGCAAGGCCCTGTGACAAGCCTTACACGATCAATATGCCGGCATTAGTTAATCCTTACAGTAGGGGATTACAAGAGCTTTTATGATAGTTCCTTAGACAGTTGGCGTGGAATGTTGGGTTTTGATCTATGTCGCAATACAGTTTTCGTACATATATATATATATTTTAAATATACATACATATATATATATACACACGAAAAGTACATATATATGTGTGTGTATATATATATATATATTTATACACACCGACAAAGACAGAGAGGTATAAACAAGGGAATATCTATAATCTATGATTCCGAACTATTGAGGCCTAGAACCACGCTGACCAGAATAGCTCTGGGGCCTAAAGGCCTAAACCCTATAAATCCCTACACCCTAAACCCTAAACCCTACATCCTACCCTATAAATCCCAAATTCTAAACCCTATAAATCCCACACCTTGAACCACCAGGGCCTTGGTATGTCCAGCGCCAGCAGCTTCATGGAGAGGACTCCTCAAAAGAGCAGCGCGGGTACACATTAGCCCTGCCCTGAGCACTATAAGCCCTGGCCGGGGATTAGGGTTTAGAGGTTCAGGGTTTCACGTTTAAGGTTTAGGGTTTGGGGTGTTATAAGCCTGAACCCCTAAACCCTAAACCCTAAATCCTAAACCCTAAACCCACGAACCCTAAACCCTAAATCCTAAGTCCTCAACCCTAAACCCTGAACCCACGAAGCCCAGACTGGAGCCACAGGTCTTGGAGGCTTTCTGGCCTGTCGGGCGGTCTGGGTTCTTTGGATCGGTGTATGGTTGGTTTAGGTTTCGGGTTTCGGGCTTAGGATTTCGGGTTTCGGGTGTAGGGTTTAGGGTTTACCGTTTATGTTTAGGGTTTAGGGTTTAAAGGAAGTTTGTTTCGGCATAGGATGTGCAACATAGGGCCAAGCACCCTCGGTCTCCACCCCTGCACGAAATTCGAAGCAGCTGATGCGCAATCGGAGTCCCCAGAGAACCCAATACCCCTTAATTAAGGAATATATCTTAAATGATAGGGCCTTAGTATATTCCTTAATTAAGGTACGCGTCTGGGAAAAAA